ATCTTTAGAGATAAATTAATAAATAGGTAAAATTGAGATAGCGTACTATTTTCAGATGTAAAACCTATGAAACCTGTGGAGCTGCTCTTGGCAACTAAACTTAATAAAATCTACCGTCTATAAAACTTGTCTACTTTATTTGACACTCTGCAGTCCTTGGTTAGGTCCAGGTAAAGAATCAGTCAGAAAATGGAGAGGGGGAAGTTATTAATTTTTTGGCATCCAATATGGCCCAGAACTAGGCTAGCACAGGGAGATTCTTGGCATCCCCTCTAGAAGAGAAATGGAGAGGAGAGGAGAGGAGAGGAGAGAAGAGAAGAGAATTCTTTATTGGCCAAGTGTGATTGTACACACAAGGAATTTGTCTTGGTGCATATGCTTTAGGCATAAATAAAAGAAAAGATATATTCGTCAAGAATCATAAGGTATAACACTTAATGATTGTCATACGGTACAAATAAGCAATCAAATCATATTAGGAAACAGTCAATATAATCTTAAGGATACAAGCAACAAAGTTACAGTCATACAGTCATAAGTGAGAGGAGATGGGTGATGGGAATGATGAGAAGATTAATAGTAGTGCAGACTTAGTAAACAGTTTGGCAGTGTTGAGGGAATTATTGGTTTAGCAGAGTGATGGCATTTGGGAAAAACCATATTATTATTATTATTGGTTAATCTTTAGTGAGATTCACAGCCTTTGAGGCTGGTTAATAGCTCAGCAGCTTGAGTCCTAACCAAGGACCTAGGAACTGTTAACATCGTTGGAGGATGTAAGCTGTTGCAAGTAAGGTGGTTTTTTGTAGAGTCAAAATGTTCAAGTCCAGCAAATTTAGAATTTCTAAATAGCAGGGTAGCCCTTTGGGTATTGCTCCGAGGGCTCCAATTACAATTGGGACAACACACAATTTCTTTTTCCACAGTCGCTCAACTTCAATTTGCAAGTCCCAGTACTTTGTGATTTTTTCTTGCTGCTTATCTTCAATCCGTGCGTCACCAGGTATTGCAATGTCAATGAACCATACTTTTTTCTTTTCAACTATTGTTATGTCAGGTGTGTTGTGGACCAAGTGCCTGTCAGTCTGAATCCTAAAGTCCCACAAGATCTTGAGTTTCTCATTCTCTAAAACTTTCTCAACCTGATGTTCCCAGTGGTTTTTGCTGTACTCAAATCCAAACTTCTGGCACAATTTCCAGTGAATGATCTTAGCAACACGGTCATGGCATTGTAGGTAGTCAGTTTGTGAAATTTTGCTGCATCCACTGATCAGGTGGTTGACTGTCTCATCTTTCTCATTGCAGAGGTGGCATTTGCTGTTCGTGGTAACATGTTGAATTTTTGCCTTCATGCAGTTTGTGGCTAGGGCTTGTTCTTGAGCTACCTAGCCAAACAAGGTTACATCATGAGTGCAAGTAGCATCAAGTAACACGGATGATGTTACTTAATTTGGGTAATGAAACGTCTGCAAGAAAAGAAGCAAGATCAGAGCACACCAAAGACTCCTGTTGTTGATGTGTGCTTAGGGATTGATTAATCATATTTATATGGCCAGCAATCCCACAGAAAGTGATTCTATGTATTGGACCACAATCCAATAAAGCAAAAAATACATCCGAAGCAGCTTTGGAAGGCAGCTCAGGCTGAGGTTGAACTACATGATGTCAGAATGGTTCTGATCAATGTAGCATGTGAGAAGAGAACAATGAGAGGATTGTGAAGACAATTCCCTCAGGGGATTTCTGCCTTTTTTGAGTCAGTTTCTGGAACCTGGAATTTCCTGCTCAGCAATGGAAGACTCAGAAGCTTATTTTACCATGTTCAAAAGAGTTGATATCTCTTGCAAATGGCCTGAGAGTGAATAGGTTGCCATATTTAATGGGAAAGGCCTTGGGAGCTTATAGTAGATCTTCCATCAAGAGAATGAGTGCATTACTCTGATGACCAAAAGATAATGCTATATAGATATGTCATTCCCTAGAGGCAGAGGTTTAGGAGCCACACCTATAACAAACACAAAGGGTTTTGTGAATGTGGGCAAAGTTGGAAGATTTAGGCAGGAAACCCAACACTGTCAGTCAACTTAGACTGCTGAGAGTATCCTGGTCAAAATCACCATCTCAGGAGGGGAGCCAAAGGCAGCAGGCCTGTTTCCTGGCTCCAACCTCTGATGCCAGAAGAGGGAAGGTAAGAAGGTGTATCATCAATAAAGGTAGCCCTCCTCTGTCCCCAGCAGTGAGGAACTCATCATGATGGAAGCTGTTCAGGAGCTACAGACAGAAAAGCTTGTTAAGAAAGTGGAGGAGCTGAAGACCTTGCCTGTCCTCCATCCTCCAAAGAATAACGTGGTTAAAGGTTTACACCCAAAAACTTCATTTTGTTCTTCGGGAATCCCTACCATATAACTTCACACAAGGATATGGACTGACTTTTGATCAAGGGGCTGCCCCTTCTCAATCCAAGAGAAAGTTCTCTTGTCTCTTAAACCCTTAAATCAATCTCATACAGTCCTCTGAAGGTTGACAGCCGAGACAGCATGATTGACGATCGTCTTTGCCTGAGACTCAAAATGACCCAGGTAAGCACAGAAGGGTCCCCCTCACCCCTCCAAAGCCAAATCCCCCTTGCCAGATACCTCCAGCCATTGCTCGGTTGTGCTCATTGCATGGCCAACAGTGACTGAGAATTGGAATGAAAAAGAGGCCACACAGAATTAATGAGCCAAAATAAACCTTTAGGCACGGACTGTTGCCTCAAACATGCTCCTAAATGGTTCTGGGTTTTTGGCAGCAGGGAAGGACATGGAATCAAGCTAACTACAACACATCCATCTGCTCTGTCATCCCTGATCACAGATCAAAAATTGTGAATCCTAATTCCGACACCAGTTTCAAAACACAGAACCTTACTCTAGTATTTATTAAACAATATGTTAAATATATTTATTTTGTTTTATCACAAAAATAAAATACAAAACAGAAAAGCAAAAAAAATACAAACAAATGATATATTCAGCACCACCACCAACAAAAAAGAAAAAAAGTGACCCAAATATCAAATAGATTTAACATTAAACATATACTGAGTCAACCCTGCTGGATGCTGAAAAAAATAAAAATGTGTTTTGAAGTGGAGTCTTCTCCATAGTGAGAAATGCCTTCAAACAAAGAGAAACACCTCTATCATACTCCCACACCCCAATCATAATGTGATGTGGTTTTTATGAGTTTTTATGCTGTTATGTTTAAAGTTATAAGCCATCCAAAGTCACATGTGTGGGGTGTCCATATAAATTTGTTTATTAAATAAATATATAACTAGGTATACATTTCAGAAAGGAGGGGAAACGACGCAAAAGGGGGGGAAATGATCAGGGTTAAATCCTACCTAGCGAACCACTAGGGATTATGGGCATCAGTTCACTGAACAAGTAGTAATTACCCCTCCTTGGCCCCACCCACGCCCGGCCAGTCGCCATTCACCTCTTCCGGCCACTCGATGTTCCACAGAATTCAATGTTAAATGCAGCAGAGAGAATGCTAACTTTTCTCCCTCCATTCAGAACGGAGCTGCTGCAGGCTGTTCCTTTTAAGGTAGCCCCCAGGAGGGAGGAATGGAGCTGTTTTTGTGAAAGGCAGGAAAATGGGGAAGGGGATTTTCCTGCCTGTCATCCATTCCTCAATCTCAGCACAGACTGAGGGAAGGATGGTAGGCAGGAATAATCCCCTCCCCATTTTCCTGTCATTTGCGACAAGGAGTGGCTGGGAGGAGAGGGGCCAGTGATGTCAAGTTGGCCACGCCCACCCAGTCACATGACTCCCCCCAACATGCCACACCCACAGAACCAGTAGGGAAAAATTTTTATTTTCATCACTGGAAATGATCCATCTGTCCATACTTATAAATAATAGCGATGAATCACCTACTAAAAATCAAGATGTCCCCATTTTGGGAGGGAGGGATAATTGAGAGGAATGTAACTGTACAAAGATGTCAGTTTGAAATAAAGGAAATCTGAGAACATCTACTCAAATTAGATAGGAAATTGCAAGATTTGGCAAGATGAAGATAAGCAGCAGAAACCTCAAAATGGAACAAAAGGAGAGGTGGAGTTTAACCAAGAGAGGACTCTACAGGGGCAAAACAACATGTATGCTCAAATAAGGCACAACTCCATAGACAAATGGACACATAGACTAAAAACAAGATAGAGCTCCCAAAAAGGTAATAGCTTTGTGAAACTTTAATTCTCTCTTTTCTAGAAAGCAACTGCATAAAAGATCGTACTATGCTCTTGTTTAGGGTCTCAGTTCTCCAAGTTGCTGGGACCCTTTTGCTTCAATAAAAGTTTTGGGAAAATTCCTCATTCGTATGTGGCTCTGATTGGCTTTGGCACCAGGCTGAGACATTTTGGGGCCACCAATAGCATAATAAACCTCAGGTTGCTTCTCGCTCTCCTGTTATCGGCAAAGAAAGATGTAGGAAAGATTTGCATCTTCCGATTCAGGGGTTGCTATAGGAATGTGATGATGAAACTTCCCACAGGTCACCCGGAGCTGCAAGGCCACATTCCTTATGTCTCCATTTCCCTATCAAACAGTCCGATTCATCCGGAATCTGATTTTACCCACAGTATTGTCACTCCAAGTGAGACTTGGTGTATTGTTATTGGTTTCTTTAAGAATATACAGGAAAATTAATATGGGTAGCTTTAGAGATAAGAGCAATATCTCCTCCCCACGTGCATCTTGCTCCCTTACTTCCCATACCTGTCAATTTTCAACCAATGTTAATGCTACTATTTATTACTTTAATCTTTTATTTTCCTTTGACTTGATTATAACTTGCCTAGAGTCATCCCTAGCCACGATGGGCAGCGTGTAAATTAAACAAACATACATACATACATACATACATTAAATTATCAAAAACTGTTAATCAAGCCTACTAAATGACATTTTTGAAAAATAATAGATTTGTAAAAGTCATTTTTTGTATTTTATTTTGACATCAAATGTTCTTTGGTATTCAGATCTGGCCTAAAAATAATAATGTAGAATTTAGGGAAGAATATGCAGCTCAGCAGTCCAGCACTGGAGGCCAAGATGGAGAAGACCTGAACAGCCACCGTGTACTTCCCTTTGGTGCTCAGGTAGGCTGGCACAAAGGACACCCAGACACTGCAGAAGACCAGCATGCTGAAGGAGATCAACTTGGCTTCGTTGAAGGCCCCAGGGAGATTCCTGGCCAGAAAAGCCACCGTGAAGCAGACAGCAGACAGGAAGCCCATGTACCCAAGGGCAAAATAAAACATGGTGACAGAACCTTCATGGCATTGTAGGATGATTTCTCTCACTTGGGAGTTCATGTCAGAGTCAGGGAATGGGGGAAAAGTGCTCAACCAGATGCTGCAGATGACAACTTGAAGGCCAGAACAAGAAAAGACAATGGAGTTGGCCAAGCTCTTCCCCAACCATCTCTGCACTTTATTCCCTGGTTTTGTGGCCAAGAAGGCTAACACCACTGTGATGGTTTTGGCCAAGATTGAAGAAATGGCAATTGAGAAGACAATGCTGAAGGCTGTTTGTCTGAGGAGACAGGTCACCTTCCTTGGCCGGCCAATGAACAGGAAGGAAGTCAAAATGGAAAGCAGGAGAGAGACCAGGAGGATGTAGGAGAGGTCCCGGTTGTTGGCTTTGACAATTGGTGTTTCCATGAATTTAATGAAGATCCCCAAGCCAAAGCCTGTGGTTAAAGAGAGGAACAAGGCAATGGAAGTCAGGATAATCCCCAGATTTTCCTTATAAGAAAGATAACTTTTAATCTTGGGGATACAGTGAACTCGATACGTGTTTGGATGTTGATCTTCTGGACATTTGGTACATTTGTCTGCATCTGAAAAGGAGGAAGAGTAGAGTCTCCTTTTTACATGTCCTTTAATCAAATGCATTGTTTGGGTAAACTTGTTTTTGGTGTGAATGATTGTGTGTAGGTGAAGTCAATATATTTCTTCATTTCCCTCCAGCTAAAACATCTTAATATTCTTTGTTTTTTACTGTTATCAGTACTGTTGAGAGAGAAGAAGGGAAGAAGGCAGTTCCACCATTTTATCTTTTCACTGCTAAATCTCTTGAAAATTGGAGCCCAGCCTTTTGTCAATGCTTTAAGGCACCAGTGAGGTTCAGCCAATAGTGGAATGAGGTACATGTGAAGGATCACCAAATGTAGCTTATGCCAGCTAAAATGGATAAACACTGATTTTGCCACGGAGAAAGAAATGTCAGTGAGAACATCAAAATGCATTCCTCATTTTTTTATTATCAGAAAGAGGAACATCTTCCAATAAGATCAAGAAGGAAGTTTGGCTCAACCCCAACTCATGATTCCTCTCCCTTCCCCTCCCCTCCCCTCCCCTCCTCTCTCCTCCTCTCCATGGGCCATGACTTTTAAGAGGTGCCTCCAGCAGAAACTCTGCAATGACAGACTCAGGAAGTATAAATCCAGAAGTCACTGGAAGCAGACCCAAAAAGGCACCACCTGAACATATGGAGCAGTCACAGGATTATGACATAAGGCTACCAACTCCCCTCCCCAGCAAGTAGAATGAAGAGCCCATCAAAGACACGCTATGAGTCTCCTCTCAACCTTGAAGCTGACCTGAACGGAGCCATCTTGGAGCTTCAGTGTTGCCACACTGGAGCTGAGGGATAGGGAGGGTGGGGGATGAGTGATAGCTGGAGTTTTGTAGCCAAAATAAAATCCTTTCTCTTGGGAACCAAGGACATTCTATCACCTGGCCAGAGGAAGGAGGAGTGATGTCACCAGGCAACCAGACAGCACCTTGATTGGACCATGTCACCGATTGTTTGGGGTTTCAGGGAAACCTTTTACTTTTAATTAGGTGAAAGCTATGAGAACCTTCAGAGTTGGTTTTCTCCAGATCTGTGCCAATATGATATAACCAATAAAGCTATTCCTTGAGGAATCTTCCTGCCTCTGAGTATTACTTGCTATGGGTGTATTACGTGGAATCCTGACAATTCCTTTAGTAAAGAAATACATCCTTTGATTAAAGGCAAGTAGCTACAACCTGAAATTGTGGCTGCCCAAAATAGCCAGGAGACATGGACACTTGCAGGAATCTGATCGATCCTCCTATAGAAATCCAATCAAAGTTCCATCATTATATTCTGGAATCCAGAAACTCTCACTATTCAGAGCAATGAAGTAAACAGTAATTTGAAACATGGAAGATGTGTTGGGAAAGATAAAGAGCAAGAAATGTCATCTCTCTCACAACCCTCAACCCTCACTTATCCCATAGCTTCATCCATGATCTATATAACTGTTTGCTTCACCTATATACCAGATTAATCTCCAAGATATTTTCTTATAATTCACTATGACATAAATGTATATCTTGATCAAGACTCAAAGAGGTGAGATCCACTCTGGCCAAGCCTTCCAAAATGGATGTTCATGGAAAATCTCAGGATTTATGATCCTCCCCAAAGTCTGTCCCTTTCTCCTGCTGTCACCCACCTTCCATGGTGGAGATGGATCCTTCTGCACAAGGACGGCAATTGTAGCAGCAGATGGGCTTCCCTTCCTGAGCCACATTCATGAATCCAGGAGGACAGCTTTCCACACACCTGGAAGGAGGCTGGGGCTGGCCAGCAAGAGGGGGAAAATAACCTCCATTAAATGAATTATTTTATTTCCTAAAATACATAAAAGGAAACGTTTGGGGATCTCCAATTCAAGGTTTAGCTTTGCTAAATTTGAAGACTACAATAAATGAAGAGCTCCTCAAATTGATGTGGTTGCTTGCTGTTTGTGGATTTACTTTCTCTTCTAATTTTTCTCCCGCTACAATTCTAGATTAAATTCTCAATGTACCTACTGAAAAGAAACTTTAATGGATTTTTGTTTTGACAAAATCAATCACTTTGTCCTATAATATAAATCCAGCTTCCTTGCAGAATTTTGATGAACAGTTAACTGGAATAGTTAGGGATATTTTTCTCATAGACACCTGAACATCTAACAGGAAGATGTTTCCTCTCTGGGAGAACTGAGATGACATCCCAAGTTTTTACCTGCTCCAATTCTGCAATCAACTTGGAAAGACCTTCAGAAAAAACAGAATAAAGTCTTTTCCCCACCTTGTTCAGCATCTCCATCTTTGCAATAGCATCCTGGTTCATCATGAACTTGAAATCCAAGGATCCCACTCTTTCTAGCCTCCCAAGTGTCACTGTGGTAGCAGAGTAATTGGGAAAAACCACCGTGTTCCCAATGTCCAGGTCTGCTACCAGCTTTCCATTCTCATCCAAATATACCCCATTGATGGAATTATTGTAAAACTCAGCAGTTTGAAGGAAAGAATGAAACTGGAATGGAAGAGAAAATGGGCAATGTTATATAGACGCAGAAAGTTCTTTGGTAAGACTCCTCCATCCCAGTTGGCCTGAAGGATCTTGAGAGAAATGGAATTATTCCAGTAAAGAATATAGCCTAAGTGATTCCATATTTACCCTTCATATAACCTGAGTTAACCCTAAACTATTTAGCTGAGTAAGACACTTATAAAGGGGAAGTATATATGTCGCCTTTTCTGAGGAAATAATGTGTTAGTACATTCTGAGTTGGGTCAGGCTGAACTAAGCTAAATTAGAAGGAAGGAAGATACCCTGTTCCAATTAATTGTCTTAGTTAAGGACATATTGAAAGGGTATTTTTGGAGGGAAAATGCCCCTCCAAAAGAGAATTTTAAATTGGAACAAATGTTGCTGAGAAAGCCAAAATGTTATGTAACATCCGAAAAACAATGATAAGTGGGGGCATTTCAATTGTTTTGCTAATTGCCTGAAAATGTATTTAAACCATGTATTCGGAGCTGTAAGACGTTCTCTCTCTTTCATGGGAGAACCTTTTGCAAAACCTTATGATACACACACACACACACAAACACACACACACACACAAATGTGTGTGTATGTGTGTGTATGTGTGTGTGTGTGTGTGTGTGTGTGTGTGTGTGTGTGTGTATCAATGTATGTATAATAAAAGTACTTTTTACTTGTTCATGATCTCCTTTTTACTTTTTATGAGGTTTGCTGTTTTTTTAAATCTCACAGATCTGTATGAGGAAAATGGAATAAAAATCTTGTTAGAAGGACCAAGAACGACATGGAAAATAAGGAGAGTGAAGGATGTTCTTTATCTCTTCCATTTGTAGTTGTCACTGCAGAGTTTGGAAAACCAATGGGAAGTAACCAAAGCAAACGATAGATGCAGTATGAAGTATTGAGGTACAAAATTAAAACCCTAAAGGATATGGAAGTTGTTCTCAACTACACAGAAGGAATTTTGCCAATAAAGCCAAAATGAAATTGGATGCCCCACACAGAAACAATGTTATAAAAAAACTGGTTTACAGGTCAATCGGCAGCTAGGGAGAGAAATTTTTTTGCTGAGTTTGAGGATGACTTTGGGACCTTTGCTCTACAGTAAGTTGTGGTTATGAAACTGTGCATTGAGGTGACAGGTGGGCAACTTGCCATGGAGCAGAGACCCCAATAACTTCATGGTGAAAGATGATCTCTGGTACCAGTTAAGGTCACCTCCTTCAATTTTACAGAACATATTTGGAATATTTTGTGGAATATTCTTCACTCTTGTTGCTTCCAGACTTTTCCTAGCCCAACCCTTCATCTTCTCACCTGACCTTAGCCTGCTTCTAGGCCCAAAGAGTCTTCTACTGGGAGTTTTGAGCCGGGGAAGAAAAATCAAAGGGATTCTTAGCAGAGGTGGCATTCAGCAGGTTATGAGCTGTTCTGCAGAACCGGTAGCGAAAAGTTTGAGTAGTTCGGGGAACTGGTAAATACCTCTGACTGGCCCCACCCACATCTATTCTTTGCCTCCCGAGTCCCAGCTGATCAGGAGAAAATGGAGATTTTGCAGTAACCTTCCCCTGGAGTGGGGTGGGAATGAAGATTTTACAGTATCCTTCCCCTGCCACACCCACCAAGCCATGCCATGTCCATCAAGCCACGCCCACAGAACCGGTAGTAATAATTTTTGAATCCCACCACTGATTCTTAGCCAAAGAATAAGACCCACTCTGGGGAAAGCCCGGGAAGTGAGAGGATCGGAGGTTTTAAACAGCTTAATATACACAACGCACTTTTTAGTGTATGACGTGGTAATGGTCCTGCTAGTAAAAAAAAGAGTCAAAGAAGAAAGAGGTGGAAGAAAAATATTTTTAACAAGAATTTTGTAAAAAGAAATTGGAAAAGAAATGAGCAGGGTGAAATGAATTGCAGAAAGGAGAGCAGTGGAAAATTGGAATTTAATGTAATCTTTATATTCAGAATACACTATAATTATTGTCAGGTTCTTAGAATTGTAACATAGATCCTCAGATGCGGTGGAGAGCTTTGCAATAGAAAATAAGTACCTGCCATGCCTTCAGCTTTGGAGTTTTCAAGTTTTTGCCAGTTTTAAATGTGTTCCTGGATCTGGATAAATAAGCTGCATTTAAGGCCCTTGCCACAGCCGAGATTGTGTTGTAAATGAAATAGCTGTCCCGAGTCAGGATTGGATCCATCTCCTCTTCCTTGAGAGATTCCAGATATTCTCTCTGCCTGCACTGTATCCAGACTTTCACCGAAAAGGCATCATTGGTGTAGGAACACAGGAAGGAGGTCTCTACATAGTATCTCATAAAAGAATAAAGGTTCAAAGGCCTACTATACTTTTCAAATTTGTTTTTCCGCATAGGAAAGGAAAATATGCTATGGAAGTATTTGACTGGAAAAGCTCGTTTTGACAAATAAACAGTGAAGTCCCAGCGGATTGTGAATAGCAGGACTTTTCCTCTAGGAGGTTCCATAAGCCTTTCAAATACTAGATACAGAAGCAAAATCCCTGCCCTGAATGAATTCAAGTCTGCACCAAAAATAAAGACATTGATCTTTCTCCAACTGAGGAATAAATGCCACTCTATCTTTGCTTCCTGTGTAGCCGGAGAAAAGGTTTGTGATAAAACTGGACAAATGCCGTTCCTGACCAGCAGGGAAGTCAAGGTCCTCATGAACCGTTGTCCGTTCTCAGTGTCTGGAGCAAGGAGACCCACCAAGGTCCACCTGAAATGCAGGACCAGCATTACCATCCCTGGGTACTGGGCTCCTTCAGCAGGGAGCATTGGGTAGAAGAAAGGATTTTCATCACTCATAACCTGGGAGTCAAAACTGTGACTGATCTTAAAAGGAAAAAAAAAGTTAACTTTATTTTTTTTGAGAGAGAGATCATAAAAACAATATCCAGCCCAAATGGAGGAATTGTTCGACTCCTGGTCATTCTGTTTACATTGCCTCTCTTCTCACTTCAATAGCAAAACAAAATAGATGACACGACAGTGGTGGGGCTCGTTAATAAGAACAATGACTATGCTTATAGAAAGGAAGTACAAGGGCTGACATTGTGGTATAAAGAAAATAATCTTATACTTAACACCAAAAAAACTAAAGAACTTATAATTGACTTCAGGAGGAAGGGAGATGTACATTTACCATTGTACATAAATGGTGAGGAGGTGGAGAGGGTTGGTAGTTTTAAATTTCTGGGCATTTATATCTCAGAGAACCTCTCATGGACTATGAATGTTGACATCCTTGTGAAGAAGGCACAGAAGAGGCTGTACTTGCTGTTTGAGGAAGTTGCACAACATTCTAAGAGACTCTTCCCATCCTGCTTACAATCTTTTTGGACTGTTGCCTTCTGGCAGAAGATACAGAATAATTAAAACTCAGACCACACATTTTCTGAATAGTTTTTATCCCAGAGCTATAATTGCACTCAACAATGAACTAAAGGGCCACCATCAGTAAGCTGTTGGACAGCATTACTTGGTCTGCTGTGCGGATGCTTGGGTGGTTTAGGAGTGGTGAATTTTTGGTGGGTGGGGGTGTGTCTGGGAATTGTCATGTGTGTTGGGCTTGGTCTCTTGGTGTGATGTGAATTTCGTTGTATGGGTATACTGTGTATATATGTACAATGACAATAAACTTTATAAATATAAATATAAAAGCACTTAGACTTATATTCCACTTCACAGTGCTTTTACAGCCCTCTCTAAGTGGTTTACAGAGTCAGCATATTTCCCCCAACCATCTGGGTCCTCATTTTACCCACCTCAGAAGGGTGGAAGGCTGAGTCAACCTTGAGCTGGTGAGATTGGAACCGCCAAACTGCAGTCAGCAGAAATAGCCTGCAGTACTCGATTGTAGAAAATATAACTTCAGTAACAGAGTGGTCAGTGCCTGGAATGCACTACCTGACTCTGTAGTTTCTTCCCCAAACCCCCAAAACTTTAACCTAAAACTGTCTACTGTTGACCTTACCCCATTCCTGAGAGGTCTGTAAGGGGCATGCATAAGCACACCAGCAGGCCTACTGTCCCTCTCCTAATATTCCTTTTTACTTACTCTTTTCATGTATTCAAATTATGTTTATACTGTTACCTGTTATCTTCTATATGCTTGAGAAATAAACTTATGATATGATTATGATTACTGCCTTCTAACCACTGAGCCACTGCAGCTCTTCAATGAAGAATTT